CGAGCCGGACGGCGAGAGCGGGTCACCCTTGAGGAGAAACCAGCTCCGGTCTGGCGGCAACACTCGCCGACTGGAGTAACTGTGTTAGTGACGGACTCCGGAGTCTGTGTAATGTGTCGGAGTTTCTGACTGAAACCCGTCTTTTTCATACATAACGACTGTTAGACGACAAGTATAAAGGTGTTGTAACTCATAAGAAGGTTTCTCGGAACATACTTAACGTTATCACCAGAATATGTAAACCTAAGAGTAACCTTAAAATGTTACACCCAGAACGAATCGCTCCGCGGTCCAGTCTCAGGGATGTCGATAGCGTTAACACACTAGCTACGACTTCTTGATAGTATACACATGGATGTTCGACAGGACTGCACGAGAGAATAGTCGCGTCTGGTCTCGTGGTAGTTTATGTAATTATTTTGTATATGGACTAACCCGTGCCTAGTGGTTGGAACTTAGCGATCGGCTGTACCCTCGTATTCACCAAAGTTATAAAAAAAACACGTCTTGTATTTACCACGCTCAAACTTTTAGGTTTGATATAATGTTAGATAAAGTAATTGGCCTCCACTCACCAACCCTCTTCGACTTTGTGTTCCTCAACAAACCTTTAGTAATTCGCGGTTGTAACTTTTTTAATATCAGGTGTCTAACGTTGTTATACTTAGGTGGTGGTCTCGACGTACAACGATGGCATACATCCCTTGTAGAGAGTTTGACACCGGATGGGCTGCGACAGATGAGAACGCACTGTGTCTTGTGCTATCCTGGTATTTACACTTATAAGGGACGTATGAGGCGATGTGTGGGCTGTGTGTCAGGTCACGAGCGTATAGTAAAGGGAGGCAGGGTGGTTCAAATTAGTCGGCAGTTCCGATGGCGCGTTCTGGCTTATGTCTTGTTGCACGTCGTAAATTGTCGGAGAGAGAGCACAAGAGCCGGAGTTGGTATAACGCGACCACACGGTGAGTTCGCTGTCACACGTCCTAGGACACGCTGCAAGCAGAGTGTGTTAGATAGGCTGCTACCCCCGCTGTCTACTTTTCTCCGCTTAGGGTCTCGAGAATAGACAGATCTCATGTGTGAACGGACTGGCGCTCCCCGCGCGATTGTGTTTGGTAGGAACGGGGAGGGACAGCGCACGGGCGCATTACTGACCGTCAGCGCGTGGGCCGCCGGTGGCCCACGCGGTACAATGTAAGGCGTGACAACGGTGGGGTGGAGAGGTAGCGAGTGGTGATAGTCGAATGAAGACTGAGATCTTCTTCTTCGACGGGGTGCTATCGTAGTGTTGACGGCTGTTCATGCTCCTATCCTGTCCACCGCGTGTAGAGGCACCAACCTGGACTGGGCACGTTCGGGGGGGGGAGAGTCGGGTAGGGAGGGGGCGATAGTAAGTTGATGTTTTTGACGTTCTTTATGGGGCGGTGGAAAAATTGCCAGCCGTTTGAAGGTCTCGTCCTCGTCAAAGAGTGAAGAGATCTTTCTCGAAGTTGAAAGCACAGAGAGCGACCGGCGCTTCGTGCGCCGCTCGCTCGCGCGCGGGCTGGTTGCGACTCGCGTATAACCCCGTGCGGCATGATGGCTAAATTAATAAGTGGGCGACTGGAAGAGGGGGGTGTGGATGATGTACACATCACCAGCCTTGCGCGACCGCGCTCGTCAGGCGCGCACTTGCTGGCTCGCGACACACCCGCGGTGCCGCTCCGAACCGTGCCGCCCCTCTCTGTGCTGGTTGTATCGTAAAGGCTTAGGACAACACAGGAGGAGGATGTGTGTGTGTGTTTGTGTATGTGTGTGTGGTGTGTGTGTGTGTGTTGTGTGTGGTGTGTGTGGTGGTGTGTGTTCAAAGGTGTGTGTGTGTGTTGTGTTGGTGTGTGTGTGGTGTGGTGTGGTTGTGTTGGTGTGGTGTGTTGTGTGTGTGTAGTGTGTAGTGTGTGGTGTGTTCTTCGTCACGGCCTCGCTCGGCGATATCCGATTACTCCACTGGACGTCGGCAGACCTTCTGATCGGTTTTGTCGGTAATTGAGGGTCGGTCGATAATTTGTCGTCTCTCTTCCTCTTTCCACCCCACCCCTCCCACACCTCTTTCCTCTTCCGCCTACTCACCAGCCCCCCCCCAGTTCGCCCACTCCATGCTGCCGATGGTACCCAACCCCCGCCTCGTACATTCACCNAATTATACTTTTCATATGTGTTATCTGCGAGACATCGCCACAACGCAACGTCGGACATGCAGAGCGCTGTTTGTAGTGGACATAGCGGAACATTTAGACTCGTTGCGTTGTGGCGATGTCTCGCAGATAACACATATGAAAAGTATAATTTGCTCAGAGTCCAGAGACAGTTGTGGTTCGGTCCGGATCCGGACCGGAGTCCGGACTTTGAGGATGCCTGCTCTATATCATTAATTTTCATGACATAAAACCCAGCTTAAAGATGCTGTCAGTCGTAAAAAAACGGAATGTTTATGTAAGTGGTAAAAATGTAAATGACTTATTTTCCTATTCTTCTTGCCATGACTGCTGTTCTATAACTTTTCTTACTGGATGGGTCCATAAAAACAAACCTTATTGGGGGTTGTATTGTTTATCACACTGAATATATGGCATCTTCTGCTAAATGTTTCTACATTTGGGAGCTTTTGGGGAAATGAACCTGACATATGTGAGGGAGGAGTGGAAGCTCTTTGGCTAGCTTTGACAACTCAATGGGGCGCTGATGAATCCGTCCCAAGCAGGCCATTCCCAAGCCCCAGACACCATATCCCCTCTTTGACCCGCTGCACTGACATTAGAAAGAAATCCTCTGGGGGATTCGCCCAACACCCCTAAAAGCAACACGCCCACCCAAAAGTAAATTTTGCACCGCGCTGCGATGGCGGGGCCTTTATTTTTCTGTCCTGCTCAGGTCTTGTCGAGCCGTCACAGTGATGGGCCGTACTGTACTGCCAGACAAAAGAAGAGACAACCATCACTCTGGGCCACTGATCGGCCCTGTCTGGACTGAAAAGACTTTGATGGAGCAAAGCAGGGTGGGGGTTTGCTGCACAGAGAAGTTAGTGTCTCCTGGGCAACCGCTCTGATTGTCTGCCCCTGCCCAAAGTTCCCCATCACACCCCACCAACTACCCCTTCCCATTCTGTTCTTCCCTTCATTGGCTGTTCACAAGGCTCCTTCCTGCATAAAGGAAGACTGGCTTTTGCATGAAAGTCTCAGTCTGGTACTTGAGGGTGCTTTTCTCCTAGTTGACTTGAAAAAAAATGGAAGGTCAAAAAACATTCTCCTCTCTGAAACTTCTTGTTCCTCTTTTTCTACAGATCCTTCTGCCTAAACAAGACCAGTCTGGCAGACAGATGGGACAACTGTAAGTGTACATGCAATGTCAAAAAAGAGAACGCAGACATTGGATGGAGAGAAACTCAGGCAACAGGGAGGGTCTGCTTTGTAAGCAGGACAGTGAGGTACAGTGTAGTGCCTGGGATAGGGGGTGAATGTACCCATTTGTCTTCATTTGGGAGGACCGGCAGACAGGGTGGGGGTGGGGAATCTATCCGGGAGGGGTGGGAGGTGCCGGTCCTCCAGTCAAGTGGCCTCGGGGGGATTTGAAATGCATTTGGGGTCCTCCCCAAAAGCCTGGGAAAGTGTGGTGAAGCTGAGATCTTAACCATAGACTAATGACACAAAGTGCAGCCCTTAACCAAGTGCAGTCACAAACGCAAAAGTGAGTGTCCCGCTGAATATACAAGGAAAGCCTTTTAAAACACAAAGCCAAAGAAAGGCATTGGCCCATTTTTTAACAAATGCAACTGCGCAAACTGTGACACAAGCAAACTGAACCCAGTGTAGCAGAGCAAAAGGAGGGAGTTGTAAATTTTGTTGAGAAAGAAGGCATCCACATTTCTCAGTGGCCTCTGCTCCGAGTTGCCTTGTTTCCATGGAGATTTATGTACACATGGCACACAAAAGAGGGCCAAGGAGGTAACACGGCCTGTTTAAGCCTTGAGGTATTTGCTCGAGCAAAACCCCGCTGCTAATAACACAAGCTTCATACTGAGCCAGGCAACCTGGCTGCACTGCACCCAGGTTGGTGTTTGAGAAAGAGCAGGAGGGGAGAGAGGAGACAGAAGAAAGTCAGATGGAGATAGCAAACAAGCAAAGATTCTGGAGAGGGAGTAAAGCTATTAAAAAAGAGAGAAAGAAAGAAAGAACGAAAGAAAGACAGACAGAAAGAAAGAAAGAAGCAAGAGGCAGGCAAGCAAGAAGCAAGAAGGAGAGAAAGAAAGACCACTGCAAAACATAAATAGCTGCCGGGTTAAGAGAAAAAGGATCGGGAGGACATTTAGTGGGAAGCGGAAATCAATAAGGCAAGCGGTGAAGCTGGGAGGGAGTTCTAAGTGGATTAGATTGAGAGAATGTGTTCGATAGGTTATGGCTCTGACAGAGAGGTAGCCAGACACCGCAGGCTCTATTGCATACTAATAAGGAAGCCAGGATGGAAGTAGAGCTCAGGGTTGTGCAGTTCAATCTGGAGAGTTTTTCTATATGGCTCTGGAGTCATCGGTTAAAGTTTTTCCCAGGAGCTGTATTTTACGGTCTTGCTTATTTTTAGTTCTGAATGTTCACTGTTGAAATTCACGTCCAGTAGTAAAAAAATGCACTTTTCCAGTTTCATCTCACTTAAAATTAAAAGGGCAGCTGAATTAATTGACTTAACCCAAAAAAAAGAAGACAAACAGTAGTGATCTTAACGCTGTCTGCTTACAACCACTTTTTATTAACACTTCTGGCCGGAACCCAGCCACCCTCTCTCTGGCCGAGCGCCTGGGCCCGGGACAGCTGTCATGGTCGGAGTCGCGGGCTCGAGGGGAAGCCGGGGAGTGAGGAAAAGAAAAAAGGGAGAGAGAAGGAGTCATTTGGCCGGGCAGTCTGCCGCAGGGGTGATTCCTGATGGCAGAGGACGATAAGGGGGATGAGGGGAGGGAGGGATGGATGTTGTGCTTAGTCACAGACCTCCACTGTGACCCAGAAGGTCAGGTCCCCGCACTGGCCGCCTGACCAAAGCCTCTGAGGCAGCAGGGCGGAAAACAAGATGCAAGAAGCGACCCCACGCAGCGTGGCAAGCAGGCGATGCTCGGCCTTAGAGATCAGCCAGACGACCGTGCCTGAGGGATTGGACAGGGGGGTGTCACTGGTACCTACTCCCCCTCACTTAGGCCAGTCAACCAAGGGACCACCAGCCAGACCAGAAGCAGGAGCAGGGTTCAAACAGTTGCCAAAAGACCACCAGTGATCCTGCGACCGCCACGGTTTGACCCCGATCTAGGAGGCCAACCAGGGGGGCTTATGAGCAGCTTCCCCAGCTACCACTCCCCCCCCAGGGCAAAAAAGTCTTCCTCTTCCTCCTGCCGCAGGCCCACAACGCCATGTTTTCACTGATCTGATGTGCTCAATTAAACTTCAGAGGATACCCTGCCACATCTCTTTGAAAAGGTCAAGACCCGGGGGTCAGAGGTTAAGTCTGCCGCTAGTAAAACAAGGTCTCCATTAACATGGCAGCGTGTTTTCAGAGGTAATCCATCCATTTGCACAAACTATCATGACACTGTGAAAAAAAAGTGGCGTTACTGGGGGACACACACAGGGGGGGGGTGTCAAGGTAATGATGTTTTATGGCTGTGTTAACTTTCAGCAGTAAGTATTGGGTAAGCTGCTTGACCTTTACTTATTTAGTCTCCTATTTGACTACCTCAGCTATTCTCTTCTGTTTCTGGTTGCTTTCACACTTTTTTGTAGTCATTTTTAATTTCTACTATACATTTCCTACCTTTTTCAATGAAAATATTGCAAAATACATTAAAAATGTTGGTTAGAAGGCACAAAACTTTAACATTTTACATAAACGTAACATTATCCAAAATTACTCCAAAATGTTCAGTTAGGATTGCTTATCAGAATTATTTTGTATATGTTTTTATTATTAATTCCAGACATTTCAATGTTCAGAGGCGAGGGTTTTCATTGACCATGTTAAATACATTCCTATCTTTTTTGAGGAAATAGCGATGAGCAGCTCAACAAAGCCAAATACAAACAAGACCTAGACTTTCCCGACGTGCCCTAACATGACCATTATCTACATGCCTTGTTACAAATATTCCATCAAGCTGTCAAACTGGATATGCAAAATATGAATCCAGGTGCGGAGAGGAGGTGATTCAAAGAAAAAGAAAATGCACTTCTTGTTGTATCAGATAACGATTAAAACATTGGAGGACAACAGCCGTGTGTGTGTGAGAAGCCAGGGCCCTGTATTGAACACGGCCTGCCAGTTGGCACAATGGATACCACAACCCCCACTCCTAGCCCCCAGCCTACTTCCCAGCGGGCATTCATCTGGGCATGCACATGGGTGCTACAGCCCAGCCTGGCTAAACGCGTCTGTGCCCCAGAACAAGGGGGCTGAGTGCCCTCTCTAAATTCACCCAGCACACTCGCTGCCAACCCGCCGACCTTTCTCAGGCAGCAACCCACCAGAATACAAAACAAATGCACTCTGAACTTATTGATTTTTACCCCAAAAAAAGACCAGAATAAACACAGGTGTGTAAATAAAGGGAGAAACATATTTCGTTTTTCAAATTAGAGCAAAAGTAAGTCGATGCCAGGACAGAAAGAACAACATTCGTTCGGACCTATTTTTTTTCTAGCAGTTCGGTCGAATGCCAGATTTTGTTTCAGCCGAGCCATTTGCTACTTTTTTGTGCATTTGATTGTTTCGTGCAGTTGCAGCAGAACAAAGGCAGCGGCTTCCATTCTGCGACGGTCAAAAAACTTTCCAACGTGCCCACTGCATTGCGGATGCCAACCAACGAATCAAAGGCATGCTGCAAGCAGACAAAGAGGGTTTCATGCCAACCTCCAAACCTCTAACAACCATTACTGGTGATTTGCCTGCCTCCCTGGCACAGTGCAAAACAAAATGGCGCCGCACCACACGGTACCACAATATGGCTGCATTGTCTGGCGATGGGCACTGCTTGGTAACTTGAAGAAAGGAAAAGACGCCTTAGGTCGCTAAATCGAAAGAAAAGCAAAAGCGTCTTTGTGATCCCGGTGAAAGAATGCCATTTTGTATTTGCCAAAGTATCAACACAGACATTTCGGGGACAACGGGAAATAATCGCTCGGATTCGCAATGTGATATTGAATCGAGGGACTTTTTTTTCCGGCGAAAGAGAACATTCACCGTTTATTTCACACACTTCAATTGATCTTCTCGGTTATCATTTGCTCTCCCTTCATCGTGGACACATTTTCCTTAAAAAAGAAAGCTGTTTAAAAACCTTCCATAATGTAAAAAACAGGCACTATCATTTAAATGTAGTACATGATCTAAAAACAGCACTAAAGAACCATTCTCAACTTGCTACTGAACGGTTCAAAATGCAGCAGATGCAAGCTAGAGAAGCGGTGGCATCCTACAAAAGACACAAAAGAGGGTCTGATGCCAACCCCGGTGCCAGTGGCAACCATTATTGTCTGTGTGCTGTGCCTTCTGCTTTCCCTGGCACTTATCAAACACAAAATGGCGCTCAGGGTTTGATGATAATGAGCTAGCTATACCACCATTCCTCCCTCAATAGCAAAGTATTGGTGCTTTTTCAGGGTCACTGCAATAGATTTAATACAGGGGAATTTCTCAGTGATTACTACATTGTGGATTCCTATAGTGCCAATGGTTAAAAGTAGGATGTACACCGTTAGGGACATATTACTGAATTCTAGTAATATACCACGTCAAGAGTAACAACACAAAATTGATGTATCTGGTGTCCAAATAAGAATAAAAATAGCATTGATTTGTACATTTAGATCCAAACATGTTCTGCTCTTTGTCCTTAATTATTCTCCCCTTCAATTTAAATGTAGTATGGAATATCAGATTCAGGTCTGTAAAAATTCAAAATGTATTTCTTCCATGCGATACATTTAGGCTTTTAATTGAGTGTTGGACATTATCTCAAATGTTTCAGTAAATTCTATTATTATATATATCGATTTTTGTATTTTTTGTGCTCATTTGTAGAGGAAGAAAGCGTTTTAACACATTCATTTTAAATAACATGCACGTAAACCTAATTCAGCACCTGGCAACACAACCTCTTATTTACCACCATGCAGGATTCAGCCTTCACACAGAGAAAATCACTGTGTCCGGAAAGGCTTTCATGTAAAAGTAACCAGCTTTTCAGGAATTAGGAAAAGACGGATTTCAGCACAAACACGATCACACATCACACGCATGACTTATAATAAAACAACATATTTTATGACCCTAAATCTATTGCAAATATTTAAAGAATCCTAAAGCTTAACTGTATTTATTTATCTTAAATGCTAATCTGTAATGGGACCTATTATCAGCATTAATGTTTATTAATATAATTGTGTAGCTAGAATGACTACATGTTTTAAAACTTCATTTTAAACCAAAATTGTTATGTGATTTTTGATTGAAAACAGACAAGTTTTAAAATTACATAATTTTACATTATATAATAGTGACTAAGGGGATTTTTTTTTTTAAGTAAGAAAAAAACTTTTTTTTTTAGATATGCACACGAGGACTTGAATAACAAAGGGTTTGTAAATATCCTGTGTTACTGGTGGGTTGATTTTAATTTAACAAAGTGTACTGCAACTTCACACATTTGTCACTACTTAATATCCTAACAAATAGGTGTACAGTGTGTGTGTGTGTGTGTGTGTGTGTGTGTGTGTGTGTGTGTGTGTGTGTGTGTGTGTGTGTGTGTGTGTGTGTGTGTGTGTGTGTGTGTGTGTGTGTGCGTGTGCGTGTGCGTATGTGTAATGGTAATGCAAACCGCCAGAGTACAGCGGAGCAAATACACATTTAAAACATGTTCTTTTTTTAAAACATATCACAGATTGCCTTTTTGTTTAGCAATGAGTCACACTTGAGCCGTAATAAAATGTATGCTGCGTATATACAGTACGGACTATCGAGTTCCTCATGTTTATTTGTCTGGCGAACGTAGTGGTGATTTCAGCCAGCCTCAGTGAGACTGCCAAAAAGTAACACATGTGACCCCTGACCTTGCCAAGCCATCATTTACACATGCGCATTAGCTCTCACACACACAGTGAAACAGATAGAGTGAGCTTGAACCTACCTTGGTCCTGGACATAGTATGCTAGAAACAAGTCCAGCTCCTTGACCGATACTGTAATGTGGTGCGGCTGGACACAAAGTGTGGGGTTGGTGCAATGTTGAGACTTGACGAGGCGCTCCCCGTCTGTACTTTCCAGAGGGATGCCTTTGAAGAGGATGACCATCACCAGGTCCAGACGCCAGACTTTGTCGGCCTGCCTCAAGCAGTCGATCCGGCGGATCTTGCCCTTCTGGTCCGGGTTGGACTGCACGCAGCATGGGTGCTTCTTGCCCGTCACACTGAGGACAAAGTCCTCTCGGTACTCCTGCCGAATGTCCTTACGCAGCTTGGCCAGCAGCCTGGACGCCCATTTCTGCTTTACCTCAGGCTTCTCGCCCAGAAGCTCGTCCTTCACCGCGCGCTCCTCGTCCTTGGACATCCTCTTCTCGTGCTTCTTGAAGTACTTGCGTTTTCTGGCCTGGAGGTTGAACCACGTGTAGGCTATGGCACGGACGTGAGGGAGAAGTGCCTCGATGAAGGGATGAAATTCATCCTGTAGTGAGGAGAGAGAGAAACAGAGAAATGTAATCAGAAACTCATGCCATTAAACACATAGAAGAAATATGGATTCAGTCAGCTACTAATCTGAGGCAGAAGGGAACACAGACCACAAATAAACAATGTCTCATAATCAGTCACATTAAATAATATTGGCAGTTGGAACAGTTTTAAGAGAAGTTTCCCTTCACAATGCAACACTGGTTTTACCATTGTGGATGTATCTAGGCGTACAGCAGGTATGACAAGCACATTCCACTGTTTATATCAACTGCCAGCACTACAATAGCAGTAGGCCCGCTGACTGAATGCACGTCTCCGCTCTCATTTCCCGAGCACGCTGCTGCTGCTACAGGCCCCCCCTCGCTGATGCATTTCTCTTATCAAACTATCCACATTCCATTGTGAACTATACGAAGGAGGCAGGATAAGCTGCAGGGTCATGGGGTGCAGTCAGAAAATAGGAAGTTAAGGAGATTCCCTTTCTCCTGGAACATACAAGCAAGCTGCTAATTCAAAATACATTCAAAAATACTAGCAGAGAAGAAAGGCGGCGTATAAAATGAAGCGATTGTGTGAAAGGTATTTGAGTTAGGACTTCAAGTTCGTGCCAAAGTGTTGAGGTTCACACGCAGAATGGCCCAGCTTCATTCCAAAAACCTGAGTCAGTCGTATTAAAATCATGGCCTACTTTCAAATGTTCAACCTATCTTTTGTGAGTGTTTGTGTGTGTGTGTGTGTGTGTGTGTGTGTGTGTGTGTTTTCTGTGTGTTTCTGTGTTGTATGCAGGTCAAACTGACCCAATCATTGTTTGAGGACATAACTATGTGTTTTTTTTTTTAGCAAAGAGTACTAAATTATATTTATTTCTTTTGAATGTTCTTTATAGAAAAAATAAGCCAAGGCCCTGGGGTTTCAGAAGAAAAATAATATTCTTGTATCATTTTTATTTTTATTTAAAATTTTAAAAAGGTTCAATTTGACTATAACACGACTTTGACTTTGTTTTGTTACCGTTCAATTATCAGAGATTTAGATGAATATTAGTGGAAATATTTTCAATACTTTTTTTAATGTTTTGTTCTATTTTTGTTTTTCAACGTACTTTGCATCATGCCGTAGTACACTTAATACCAGATTACCTTTCATTTTAAACAAAATTGACTGAAAATATTAATAAAACAATTATTTTTTCACATTTGAGAGAATCTCTCATCATCCTAAAAAAGCTGCACACCAACAATTCAACAGCGGTCCACTAGCCTACGGGCTTTAAGTCTCAAATATATTATAATAATCTCTTAATGCTTGTTTTGTGTAAATAGAGGAATGTACAGGACGCTGTGGATGATTTAGGGTTAGGTCATTACAAATTACAGCAGCTTGAGTGACAAGTGGAAACATTAACTTATTTGGGATTTGACGGTATTAAAATGTCAAATTTGAAAGTGTAAGCAGACCCTTTTGAGGAGGCGTTTGAAGAGTTAAACCACATATTGTTCTTTTTGTGGGGCAGCCAGTCAGGCAGGCTGTAGGAAACCACAGAAACCCTCTCCCTCCCTATGAGCGCCTGCCGCTGCTCTCCTCACAAACCACACACTTTCGGGCAAATAAAACTCTTCTCCAGTGGAGTAAAGTCAAGTATAATAATTAAGTTTACACTGTGAATGCATATTTAATTATCAACATATAGTTCTAAAATGTTTTTATTTACAATGGTTGTTATTAAGTGTTTTACAGAGGTCAAAATAAATGGAAATAAATTGAGATACTCCTTAAAATGTCATCTCCTCGCTATAATTTTGCCAATTAAACTGACAAAAACAGCCAGTAAAATGTGCTGGACGGCAACTGTTTCTGAACTCTTTAGCACTCCTGGTTTCCTGTTGAAAAACACTTAAAATATTCTGTTAATTTTTTGAGCCAGCTAAAGCCAAATGCTGTAAAGATAAATGACTTGGCCGAGGCCTATGCAGTGCACTTCAGCTGGGGCCATAAAAGCACAATCCTCTTAAGTAAAAACTAAACCACATCTCAGTCAATCACTTACTTATGCCAAGTAAAATATAAACAGTAAAACTGAGTCAGCCAAAACAGTCAGCTACTCTGTCCAACGCTGAATCAACCTTATCATGGTCTGATCTTCCTGCAGTGAAAGTGGCTTTATCTCCAACTCCACTTCCCTAAAGTATAGGGGTTTTGCTCTAAATAGAAATACACACGTGGAAAACTAAATATACACGCAGTTCAAGCTAGGCTGGGATGAGTGTGTGACGTTATTGGAGGTCGCAAATAACCTAATTAAGAAAACGAGGATACCTGCACCAATTAGCCAGGACTGTTAAAATGACAGTCTTGGAGTGCTATCGTAAAGAATAATCTTTACGCAGAACTTTACGCACACAAAGAGCGCGTTAAGATTGGCCCTATAATAACTTTGTAAGTGCCAAAAACTATTAAATGGTTTTCGATAGGGGTTTTGTTGAAATCCAATAACTAGAAAGTTAAAAAAAATACCCCAATTGTGGCACATATTGGATTAACATATTACATTTTGGTTAGTTCTTACGCTATATTTCCACTCCCAGGATAATTGTTGATTTAAATTAGAAAAAGTATTAATCCTGACTCATGCACAGAACTTTGAATTCCCTTACCACCGTCTGTAAAAACGTTATTACAAATATGCAGATTAAAGCAGTTAAATGTATAAAACAAAAGACACAAATACCTGAGTTAGACAAATCGGAGAATACATGACGAGACGGCTACACAAGAGGTGAATGTACTTGGACTGATTCCTCTGATCACTTTATCGCGCCATTCCTGGACCGATGTGCACCATGCAAGACTGTGGAGCAGCTATCCGCGTAAATCAACGAGAGATTATCCAAGAACATCCATGAAAAGTGTGCGATCCAAAGATTGTCGTCTCCGCAGAGAAAAGGAAGATGTTTCACGCAGGAGGTTATTATGTTTTAAAAGTTGTCGCACGGTGAACGGATTGTTCTCGTGGAGCGGGTGCACACGGTGCCGCTGCGTACTCCTCTATACACGGGGCTGCTCGCTGCTGCTGTGATATCTCGTTCATAAAAGCATTGTGGGAAGCTTTCAGAGGGCGCCCAGTGTGTGATGTTCACCCCAGCTTTAACCAAACTTGATATGAAATCGACCGGTGCACCTTCGGTCCTGCGCGATTCCAGCAAATCAGACCCAACTTCTTTTTTTTTTTCTCCACGTAATTACAGTCACACTCCTCCTCCTTCTTCAAACACACAACCCCTATCCACCAGCCAGCACCTTCTTCTTCTCTTAAGCTATCTGAAAACACATCATACTAATAATCTGCTCATTCACTCCACATAATGTTTTGTTCTTTGGGGACTTTGGACCACCGCCTTGGTTAAAACGGAAAAGGGACATTTACCTCCGCAGCCCCGCGTCAACAACAACTCTTTTCCATTTTCCATGATATATAACTTTTAACTCTGTCAGTGACATTGCAACCGACATGAACTCACATTAAAATGTTCTGAAAAGTTATTGAAATAAACCATAAGATACATGTCACTGATGTGTAAAGGATCAGGCAAATTTAATGGGAATATTATGGGAATACAAGTGCTTTAAAGACAGCCAATTGAATATACACATTTTATTTTTTAAACTACAGAATTGCATAGGAATGCTAAGCTTCTAACTTTTAGATAATAAAGAGAATTTATTTTTGAATTATTTATTTGTTGGCTTTTTATAGTGGCAACTCAGTGTGCCAAATAACTACCTGAACACCTTTTTATGGACAGTTGGTAAAAACTCATAATTAAACTGCACCCATGCTGAAAGGACTGGAAGTTAAACATTGTTACTTTGTGGCTTCAGTGTGTGTGTGTGTGTGTGTGTGTGTGTGTGTGTGTGTGTGTGTGTGTGTGTGTGTGTGTGTGTGTGTGTGTGTGTGTGTGTGTGTGTGTGTGTGTGTGAGCTGTCACCAGTCCATAGAGTTCATTTGCCAAATTAAGGGGGAATGTGATGTTAACATAGCCTGCCGCAGAATCTGGGCCAACTTTACGGTTTAGTCCCTGCAGTGCCAGTGTTGTGGTCTGAGTTAGGTTAACCCACCGTTCTGAACGAGGGCAGGACATTATCACACATGGCATCATAACAACATTTAAAAGCAATAATAATCCATGTTCACGTACCATTGCACTGTACTGCATGGATTAATAGGGAATCCTGGAGCCTAGTTGAAAACACAAGCCGTTAGCTTCACATTTCTCACGTTCAACTTTGTGCTTGGGAGGCTTTTTCTCTTGCAGGGCTCGCGCAAAAAAAAGTCAACACCGGAAGACAATTCTTTGCAGATAGCGGTGAACAGAGGTTGGGAGCAGCGAGGGGTTTTTTTCTCTTTTTTTCTGGTCTTCCTTCCTCTTCACGGCTCACTTTTTTGGATCGGTATTGGGGTTGTTCAGTGAAGTTGAACGGGATCCAGAAGAGGCTGAGTTTTCGGCACTGGGCTGGTCTCCGCCTTCACTTTCACTGCCTGCCTGCCTGCCTGCCCGCCACCCTCCGGCTATCACGCCGACCGCGAGGCTGCAGACTGTTCCGACAACACTACTTCCTGTACGACTTTTCGAAATAAAACTCCAATTTGAAACTGCTTCAACAATCTAACTACAAATGTCAAAGTAATTCACATTCACACATACTCGTGTGAAACATATTGTATTACTCAGTTTTATCTTTGTTTGGTATTTTTCCATTTGGTTTTTTGTCTTTATGTAAACACCCTTTGTATTCATGACACTGTATTTGTCTGCACTTGCCCTGTAGTTGCTATATAAATAAATAAAAAATAACAAAACCATGTCTATTGCAAATAATATAACTCAATCTTGGTTAGCTTTGTGATGGCACATTTTTTTTTTTCCGGCAATGTGTTCATCAAGTTTTTAAAATGTTGTTTTAAAAAAATAAAATAATGATTCATACAAATATACAGGATTATAATAATAATAATAATAATAATAGACAGATTTAAGTGCCGTAGACATGGCTAAACATATTCAAATTGTACACAATGCTTTACTTATATTAACTCTGAATACATTATTTCTTTTTTTATTATGAAGTGAAATATATTATTATGACAATAATAATTTGTAATTGATGCATTTACAACACCTAAATAAAAATCTACAGTATATTTCTCTACAGATGAGCTCTATTTCAGAAATGCAACACTTATAATTCAACAGTGTGTCTTTTATTGGTTTTAAAGTCTGAAACCATCCACAAAAAAGTTGGTTTATTACAGCCTAGAATGACTGAAAGCCATTGATTTCCACTGGATGTGGAAAGTTTTCTTGCATATCTACTTTTTGATACTGCAAATAAAATATGTATGAATCATCTTTGGGACCAGAATGTCCCTTTTATTTTGAAAGGATAAACTCAACGTTTCCGGGTTTAGATCAGGCTGTTTCTCTGCAGCTTGACACAGCTCAGTTTTGTAATGTGTTTGCATTCTTGCCTCTCATTGGCCAGCAGCAGTGGCCCCGGGACTCTCTACCCCGGGCCCCTCACTTCCGCTCCATGACGCTCTGTGTGGGGCTTCTCACCATAGGGCTTCGCGACAGACAGACAGACAGACAGACAGACAGACAGGCAGACAGGCAGGCAGGCAGGCAGGCAGGCAGGCAGGCAGGCAGGCAGACAGACAGACAGACAGACACACACAGTCACACATACACACACACACACACACACACACACACACACACACACACACACACACACACACACACACACACACAGATAGACAGATAGACAGAGTAACGACGACTGATGCTGGAAATCACTGCACTAATTAGGCCTTCTGTTAAAATAATGCAGAGATTAAATAAAGATGGAATTATTATTATTATTGTAATAATAATAATTAATAGTAGTAATGGTAATAATAATTGTATGATAATAATTCAAAGTGGCAATCTTATGATAATCATTTAAAGTAGCAATACCAAGTCAAGTTCACATGACTAATTACTGTCATTTTTTAAATATCAGGATCCTAGTATTCTTGAATTATCTTAAATGTACACTTAACTTTACTTAGTAGTAATAACACACTACTAATTCCTCATTCAATAAAAATGTTTTACAAAAGAACAATATATATGATTAGGGAGAGATTATCATGCTGAAGGCTTTTTCTTACGTACGTTTTAATGTCGTAAACACAGGAGAGAACAACTTTAAAAACACTAGACTCTTATTAATGGGAATTTCAAGGACAAACTCAGCACAACATACTTTGCTACACTCTCAGTTCACATTTTTTACAATAATGTTTTACTTTTTAATTAATACATTTTAAGTTGATAATGGGCAGGATAGCATTAAAATACTTAATTATCACATCCAATCTCTGCCTCCATTTACCCAGCATCACAACCTGCAGGCCTTCACACATTAAAGTTACTGAGTGAGGGTCTTCCGCCCCCTTTTGGCCAAAAAACAGAACTGCTAGTTGCTTGTTTAGATTTTTCTGCCTCTTCCTGCACTTTATTAAACGCAATTTATTATGCATTACACACAAGCCCTAAGGAGAGTCAATAACTGTCATTTCTGTATGTTTTTGCACAGCTACAGTGTTCTTCAGCACAATACGGCTAAGAAAAAAGACACATTCAGGTCCAAAATTCTCCATCTGGTAATAACAAAAATGACAAATCAGTTTATTATACAATACCTTATAATAATAATATAATACCTTATTATACAAATGTCTGTCTTGTGACATCAAATATATATTTCCTGTCCCAATTTTAAAATAGCTAAAACATGTTAAACACAAATATTTAACAGGTAAAGCACATGAGTTAAGCTATGGTTGTGTTCTATACAAGAGTCCATTGAGCCTACATGACCTATTTTTTACACCATCAGGTGGCAGTAGCAGTGCTTGGACTACTAGAGTGACCTCCTGTGTCATCTGGATAATATCTATTTCTTATATCAATATGCTCTACATCTACTTAATGAGCCTAAATTGAGACAGGAAATGTGATTATGGTTATCAAAAACAAATGATGTGGTACCCAAATAAGCTGTAATGTGATAACCATACAACAATGTTACTGCTGCCGATAATATCCTTACAGCAAAAGAAGATGTGAATGTACTTTTTCTTCCAATAAAGGTTAAGTTGTTAAATCCAGTTTAAAGGAACTTCACAGTTAATCTACGATATTTCCTTTGGGTATTTCATTAGAGCTGCATGCAACTTTTCATAGAAAGCTGTCTCTGCTCAATCCTTCCATTCAGTAACCCTTAATATTAACTTTGATTAAAAGGTTATTTCTGACCATGACATATTTCACATCATGATTTGTCTTTCCTGAGTTCTTAAAAGCAGAAAGACCATGGAGTCAAAATAGGGCCAAGGGTATTTTATCTGCGTATCACAATATCTGAAAATGCAAAAAATGTAAGGCAAGGCAAGGCAAGTTTATTTATACAGCACTTTTCAAGGCAATTCAAAGTGTAAATTACATTCAAATGTTTGATACATTTCACTTTTGAATCCAATGTGAGATCTGTGGCATTGCACGTTTTGTGAACAAATGTGTATATGATCTTGCAGATAAAAGAGTTCAAGCTGTTTTTATTTTATATTAAGTTTGTGTTCAAAACGACTTTTTATGATTATGCAGAAGAAAGAGCAAGGAATGAATTTCACAAAAACCTGCACATTTTTCCATGTATATTATAATGTAAGGTCACATGGAACATGACTGAAAAGATGAAAAATAGAATCATATAAATAATAACGAAATATTGGAAAGCAGCAGAATCTGGGCAGAAAGGATCATTTCTCTGAGCTCACTGTGACAGACAAACAAACCTCATCTTAAACCCGGAGAAGGAGCACAATAAAAGCTGGCCTGTAGTCTCAGAGTAAATAAATATTCAGAAAGAAATGTCTCTTCAGCATGGGAAAGGCGCGGGCTGGAGAAAGGGCTCTTTGTCCCACATATCAAATGAACACTGCAGAGGGAGCACAGAGAGCTGCTCTTACACTGAAGGAGGGTCAAACACTGCCTTTCATCTCTACAACTCAATAACGTCACTTTTAATTCCAATTTCTGATTTCTCCTCTTCTAAAAACCTTTCAATCCTTTTTGTATAACAACGCTTAAACTGTTGAAAGAAGTTTCCCCTGCTGGCCTTAGACAATAGGACCAATAGAAAGGTAGAAGAAGTATAAAGATACTTTACTTAAGTATACCACACTGTCAAAATCCTGAATTAGAAATGTTACTTAAGTCAAAGTAAAGCATAGTTAGCTAAATGTAGTTAAAGTATCAAACATAAAAGTACCCAATGCAGAGAAATCTAAGGTAAATTAAAAGAAAACAACCCAAAACTATAAAAAAAAAAAAAAAATTGAAAATGGCTTAAATGTTTGAAGATGCCAAATAATTTTGTCTAAATTTAAATTTAAAGAAGTTGATCTTGTATTTACTGCTAATTAATCTTAATTTGTAGAAGTGAAACCTACTATTTCCCTTTGAGGTGTAATAAATTAGTGGGATGAAAATACTCAAGTACCTCAAAATGGCACTTAAGTAAAGTACTTGAGTAAATATTTTTTGTTTCATTCAATCTTAACTGTAACTCCCAAAATAAAACTAAATTATGTTCCCAAAAGTTCAAGACGGTGATCAGCACAATATGATATTAGGGTGGTGCAGTTGGAGACTATGTCAGAAGTCACCATGAAGTTATAGTTTATTTTCAAGATGATTTTGCTTGGTGATGTTCTTAACAAAAAGGGATTTTAAGAGGAAGATTGAAGAGTAAAATCCCCACTCACCATCCACCAGGTCCTCGCCGACACATCATAACAAAGCTGCCATTTAATGGACCTCTCCGTCAGCGTCCCAGCCATCCCGGTGCTCCGCCTGTCATGTGGAGGAAGAGACACCTAATCACAGAGGAGGCACTGGAAGCATGCTGTGCCACCCGGAGGCCAGGCCTTCACAATGATGCATCATGGGAAGGGAAGAAGAAGAAAAAAGAATAAATCAGCAACAACTTGACCAGTGACTTGAACCTGACTGTGGTGATTACAGACAGCCGTGACCCTGCAACCCTCACCACCCCTCCCACACCAACCTCCCCCTTCTCCCCCCTAACAGAGCTGGGAGGTATCCACAAAGGAGCAGCTTCAGATCACTGCCCACGGGTGAGAGAAGTCACTTTACTGAAGAAAAAGCAGTAGAAATAATCTATTATAGGTTCAACTGCTGCATTCATTTTTGATACTTAGTTAAAGTACAAAAGTATTAGCATCAATATATACTTAAAGTATGCATTTCAGGAATAACGTTATAACACTCATAGAACCACTACACAGTTTTAATTTAGCAGCTGGTAAAGGTGGACCTACATTTAATTACTTTTTATACTGCAGGTGTACTATTATTGTATCCATAAAGGTACATCATATTTCATTAGAATTATATCTTATATCAATAATCCCAA